GTGTTTTCTTTTTTTCTCTTCCCCCCATTTCTCACATCTCTTCTTCCCTCTGTTTTTCTTTCTCTCCCTCTCTTTCTTTTATTTTTTCTCCCTGTCCTATTCCCCTGTCATGTTTGTCCCGTTTGTAACAACCGAAAAAAACTAATCAAATAAATACACAATTATAATAAAGGTCAGTCAAATGGACCAATATGGCAAGGCCATGATGATCCAATTGGTAAAGTAAATCCGCTAGGCATCTTTCTTGGCCTTCAGACAACAATTCTGATGGCTAAAGATCCAAATGGGACAGGCAAAAAAAAAAAAAAAAGAAAAAAAGAATATAAATATGTATTTATTATATAAAAAATATAATGTGGACAGATGATCAATACAGAGCAAAAAACATTCAGATATACAAGAGAAACTAGTGTTAACATGTAAAATCATATTATGTCAGCTCAGAGGACAGGTTCCTTTTCCTTCACAAGATGTCCAGCAAAGAAACTAAACCTAATGATATAGTTTTAGGAGCTATAAAAGACTAAACTTGCTTTATAATTTGAGACTTTATTATATTCCCGAGACTTTCGAGAGCCCTAGTGTTTCTATTGTAAGGTAGAAACCCCACAATAATACAGAATAATACAGAGAAAATCCCAAAAAATCAAATATTCCCCTTTGAGGAAGGACTTGGCAATAGTGGGGAAGAAAAACTCCCTTTTAAGAGGAGGAAACCTCAAACAGTATCAAGAGGGGCAACGATCATCCAAAGACAGGACAAAAAAACAAAAAAACAAACTATGGAAGAGAGCCAGAGATTACCAATGCAGTGCCCACTATTGGCCAAGCAGCAGCAACAGCTTACAATGTCCATGTTTTAATTTACTTACTATCTCCTTAGGCTAGCCATTAGATTTCGGAAGTTTGCATAATCCACTGGTTCATGGTTCACCACAGCTTACTGATTTCCATCAATTACTTTGGACAGAAACTGCACATCTTCATTCTAACAGTTACAGAAGCACTTCTTCCATCAAATGGTTGGTCTTATATCTATAACTCCCTCACACCCAACCATACTTCACAGCAGTTGTTCTGTTTTTAAAGTGTAATTCAGTCATTGTCTTGTAGAAGATGTCACTGCCACCAATAAGCGATGTTGCACTGTTGCATAGGCCAGCTTCTGCTTTTGGCTGAAAAAAACAACTTGTCCTACAGCATGTTTGAACTTTACACTGTGTATTCTTTTACACACACACTCCAGAGACTTAGTGATGCTATAGTACCATGTTGGGCACCTTTTTGCACTCAGAACCACCTTAAATTTTCTTAGCATGTATTTATGTATGTTTATTAAGTATGCACACAAAAAACAAAAAACAAAAAAAACAACCACCAAAACAAAAAACAACCAAAAAACAGTGAACTTGATTTGACCAACAATATGTGTAATATGCACAACGTGGGACTGTACTAATAAGCTTCCTTGCAGCTCTGTGCTTGATGTGAACAGTATGAGTGAATGAAGAGTACAGATATAGAGGACAGCTCTTCTTCTTCCCCATCTTAATTAAATATGTGCAGCTTGAACAGTGTTGTTATTGGCTTGATTAGAAAGCTTTGTCAAAATTCCACAATATTGTGACAGTAACGTGATTCAATATAATGCACTTAAGCTAAGCATACGGTCAGATACAGCTATATAAAAACACAAAAATACCAGAATACAGATATTTCAGACAACAGCCTTCTTGTTGTGAAGTAACTCATCGCCCTCTGTTGGCCAAACAGCATCAATACAGGGAACAGAAACTCAGCATACAAACTGCACTGCAGAAACCTTTAGTGACACAAATGGAAAAACCACAGAGTGCCAATTTAGATCTTACTCTGTGTTGTATTAAATGCCGTCAGCAGACCTACTCTGTGTACAGTAAAACTTCTTCTATAATTATGAACTTTGTGAATTAATTGTAAACTTTCATAAACACACACGTACACGCGCTCACATGCACGCACACACACCAGCTGAAAAATATGCAATTACCATTACCCAAAATTATGTCTTTTTGTAGCCAATTGATTTGGAAAATACTGTTGTTTTCTTTGGGACAGCAGGCATCAATGCTCCACTGAGCTCGACTAACACTGAACTTATTCCATGCTGTCATCCTCTTTTGCATTTCTTCAGTTATGTTTCTTCTGTCTCAAGCTGCTCATTTTTATGCCTAAGATTCTGGTTTTCTACAGTTTGTTCTCGTCAGCTTTTCTAATAGGCTTGTGCTAAGTTGAGATTAGTTTATTATTTTTCTAACATTTTGAGTTATTTTCCAGTGTTAGAAAATCAGCACTGCTCAGTGTTAGTCTTTGTTAATCTTCAAAACTGACTAGGTTACTTTTAAACATATAACACTGTCAAAAGTGTTAATTTAACACTCAACAGTGTTGTATTTAACACTCAGAGGTGTGGACCCATATAGACACTCTCTAGTGTTAATTTAACACTGGAGATTTTGCTGTGCATTAAAAGTTCATTTATATTAAAAAATACAAACAAAGGCAAACACACAAAACCCCCCAAACAAAACATTAAAACAAACAAAAAGTCACATTTTACTTTTAATTTACACACAGATTGCAATTTATGTAATTTTTAAACTATATTCAAAGAATAGTAGAATGACCATGATTAGTAAAAGAATTCCCCGGCACATTACTACTGATGGACACGATTTAACACATCTTCTTCTTATCTAGCAGAAAAGACAGTTAAATGTATTCATACTCTTAAGATTTTTGTGGGTTGTGTATGAAACGCAATGATTAAATGTCACGGCTGGGGCAACAGTTGTGCTGGGAAGTGAAGGAGGACAGACAGTAGCGGTGATGCAAGTGAGTTTATTTACAGTGAACGATAAATAATAAAAACAAGGGCAAAACTAAACGTAAACCTGAACTGGAAAAAACTAATGACAAACACACAAAACCTGAATCCATAACTCACAGAATCACACACAGGGGGAACCATAAGGAGGTTACACAGGGGATGGAAAGCAGAAAGAGGAGCAGAGAGCTGCAGAGATTACCAAATAACACAGATGAACCAACAAGGAACACAGGCAGGCACACACTATAAATACACACAAGGTAACGAGGGAATGACACACCAGAGGGGAACACAGCTGAACCTAATTAGACACAACAAGACACAAACCTTCAAATTAAAACCGGAAACTCACAGACAGTTTTGCAACACAAACTCAGGGACATGAACAGAGCACAAGAGAGCGACACACAGGTAGAAATAATAAAACACAAGCCCCAAACCATAAGAAGTAAAACAAAACATAAAATTATACCAAAATGAAACACAAAAGCTGGGTCTAATGACCCAAGACCATGACATTAAATTATTATATTTAAATAAATGTAACATATTTCTTTTATGTGCAACTATATAAAAAACTTGTTTACATCCTTCCAACAGAAGACACATAGTTTTTTCAGGCCAAGAAACAAAACAGCCTGGTTAATGAAAAGTTAATAAATCAAATCTATTATGGTGGTTTAAAGATACTAAATAACTGATGCTATAGTTTTTCTGGTGAGGACACTTATTTGCAGAATTTGAAGTGTATAAAAATCCAGGATTTATTCAGCGGCGGTTTTCTGGTGCCAGCAATAATAAACAGCACAATGACAGAACACACTGAATTTCTTTAAAATCACATTGACAGCATTCTTTGATATTAAAGAAATTTGTCTCGAACTCAGGAACTTCTTGCTGTGAGGCAACAGTGCTAACCACCTGGATCTTGTATGTTTGGTTCTATATTCTCTATTATTTAGACTTCTGGTTTGGGTGTTATGTTTTGACTTATGATTGGTTTTGTGATCTGTGCCTTTAGTTCCCTGATTGCATAGTTGATAAGTGAATTACCTGTCAATCCACTTTTATCTCAGTGTTTGCTATCATCTGTCACTGTGTCAAGTTCGTATGTCTTTGGTTTTGGTTCTACTTCCTGTCCCATTATCTGTGATTAGTGTCAGCTGTCCCCCTACCCTTTGCCTTTTGCCTCATTATCATCTCGGTGTAAATATTATCTCAGTCGTAACTTGTCATGTTTCCCTTTTGCTGTGTGCATTCTGTATTCCTCCAACTTTGATGGGGTCCTTGATAGAGTGACAGTTTTTGGTATCTGTGTTTGACCTTCATTATTTTGTACTTGGTTTGTGTTCATCAATAAAACTGCTTTTTCAGTTTGTTCCTTTTTTCCCCTACTCCTGTATTTTTGAGTCCAATTCCTACCTGCCGCACACTGAGCCTTTAACGATAATCTTTATTTCTATCAGAAAGCGAAACTAGCAGAGGCGTGACTTATAATTTGTGCAACGCTGTTAGGTTTAGGGATTAGAGATCTGATCTACATTATCATATTAAAATTTGGGACACATCGCCAGTAGCGGACCTTGGATTCATCAGGTGTTTCAGCCATTATCACTAGACACCCTCATCCAAGGAGGCCCTGCCAGGGTTGATCAGGCCCCAGTGTGTGTCAATGGTTTATGTTAAATTGTTATTCTCTTCTTCATTCTTCTCTTTAGTTTTCTACTGTTTATTTTCTTCTATTGATTCACTTCAACTGAGAAATAATACTTATCTCTCTTTAGCCTTTATAGAGCCTGTTAGGTTTATCTAGGCACAAACCTATTGCTGGAACAACTGAGACAATCTACTGCAGTGGCAAAAACAACACACAAGACACCAGAGCTCTTTGTGTGATCTGGTGCACGAGGGAGGTCACCGAGACCGAGCGCTGTTCCTGCCGCTTGAACCCCGTCACTCTCGGTCAGCACCTCCGTAGCACCGCTCTTTATTGTGGTTACATGAATATGCAGTTTCATTAACATATGACATCTTAAACAGGCATGTGTGTAAACAAATAATACCAGTCTGTGTGTATTTGTAGGTATGTGGGTGTATGTGTGTACATGGGTGTGTGTATGTATGCGTGTGTGTGTGTGCGTGTGTCAAAATGTGACCCTGTGAATGACTCCCCAGATAGCTGGACCAGGGAGTCCAGCAGTTCACCTAAACAAAAGGCTCTTATAGCTAAACAGATACAGTTGTGTTTGCCATACCATATACGAGAAAGAGAAGATACGACCTCTGTCGTGACCTTAGGATGTGTGTGCTATGCCAGAAAACTCTGGAAAAGGAGTGAACGTACTCTCATCTCATGGTACACAGAGTCTTAAAGACCTACTAAGGATGAGACATTTTATCAATATGCAAGCGATTTTATACCTCTAAGCATAAATGATTATATATTTCTAAGTACAAATGACAATCATAAAATATAACCCTGACAGAGCCTCACTTCTTTAAATGGATAGGAAAAGGTGATAGAGAGAAGTAAGACAAAAGGGACAAGACAGGAAAGAGCAGAGAGGAGAGCCAGAAGGGGGGCGCCTGATCTGGCTGCCTACACCTCCCCGCTGGATCGGGCTGTACGCTCTACCTCCCCACTGCCTCCCAGAAAAAGGGAAGAAGAGCAGAGGGGAGAAGAGCGGTTAGCTGACTGCCTTAGCTGCCCAAGTGATGTCATCCCTTTTTAGCCATAGCCAGTGACTGGTCCTCTCAGCAGTGTTAGCTAATTCTCTTATAGCCTGCCATTGTGCCTGTCCTCTGAACCCAATCTCTCTAAGCAGTTTTGCTGTTGTACTGGCAACAAAGCCCCTGCACCCCACTTCCACCAGGTGCACCTTGATCTTCCAGCCTCTGTCCTCTGCCTGCCAAGTTGGCATGCCACAGCTTCTTACGTTCAAATGCTTCCTGAATTACTCCCTCCCATGGTACCGTCAGTTCAATGACGTACGCATGTTTTTGGGAGTTAGACCAAAGGACGAGGTCTGGTTGCAGAGCAGTTGTTATGATCTCTGTGGGAAAAATTAGCCTCTGATCCAGCCTCTGAAACAATTGACGTTTTAAAACAATTGTAAATCTTTTGTAAACCACAATGGCAAAAAGCATTTTTCTAAAGATGAACCTGTTTGCAGACTGAAATATGAATTATCATGATGACTGAAGTCAGTAGTAAAACCATGCATGTATCACTGTAATGCGTGTATGCCAGTCAATGTAAAGTATAGGTTTAAAAGACATATTTCCTGCCCTTGTCAGCTCATGATATCTGCTGATCAGTCACAAGGCCCTCTTAGCATGCTTTTGTCATGTTATCAAAACAGCCTTGAGCCATTTGCTCATAGATATTGGACCTCTAGTGAATAGAGGGTGAAAGGGCGGCCCAGAAGGGAATAACGAAGGGAGTCAACTTTCTACCGGATTGCCAAATGAGCTATTTGCAAATATGCAATTATATTTACAGATTACAAAAGTCTTCTGAAGTCTATCTGTGGTAATTCAAATACTTAGAGTCTCTTTTTACAAATCCATTGTTTCTTCTGGTCACAGTTCACTGATTTAAATCCTTCGTTTTGGACAGAAATTACACAGAGACCATCAGAAGGAGGCTGCTGAATCCAGGAGCTGAGGAAAAAAACAAGTTTGATTAAAGCTGATAATTATTGGTATAAAACAAAATTGATTCATCCCAGATTTGGAAAAATATTATTAAATTGTTATTGACTCAAAGTTTCTCTTACTTATCAGTCAGATAACTTCCATCCACCCATGTCCATTTCCCACCTTCAGCTCTCAGACCAATCCAGTATCCATTTTCTCCTGAACTCTTCCAGCTTTTGTCACTGATATATTTCTGATGAAAGAGAAAGTTATCAGAAATACTCAAATTAGTTTGAGTATTTAGATCGTTTGCTTAAAACACTGCGACACAGAGTGTATTTAGATCAAAAGAAAATGTATTTTTGTTAAATAAATTTGTGCTAATGAGCCACAGTTCTTATTACCTTTTCTGTTGCATTAATTACAACAGCCAAATCGGAAATCTTTCCTTTGCAGTTTTCTTGAGCTTCTTCCCAGGTTTTCTTCTCACCAAGTTCAGCATCATTAATTGCATAGCAGTTTGACTCAAAGTGGAGCCAGCCCTCCTGACAAGTGTTGCAAACCTTTTCTGCATGTAAAAAAAGAAAAAAAAAAAAGAAAAAAAAGAAAAAAGTAAAAATCAATTAATAAAGATCACCAGTGCACATTTATTTGACATGACCTATTTTTGTAGCTGATAGATTTGGAGCCTACTGTTATTTTCTTCGGGACAGTAGGCATCAACACTGCACTGACCTGGACCAAGACTGAGCTCCATCTTCATGAGTTTTATTTGTTCTGTTAGGTTCTGGTTTTCTGCAATGAGGTCTCTGATCTGTGTTTCAAAGGCAGTGGAGGTGTTTGTCCAGTTGAGTTGACTCCTCAATAAGTCTTTGTTCTTATGAATTAACAATGTGGTAACTGAAAAACAAAACGTAACACTTCTTTGGCTTTACACACACATTGCAGATGAACTAATTTTGAAAGTTATACTCACAATAGATGCGAAGGGCCATGATCAGTAACAGAATACCCCAGCAAATGGTTACTGATGTACAAGATTTTATACATGCACACTGCTTATCTAGGAGAAAAAAATACTTATTATAGCAATCAAAGTCATTCTTGCGTTTAAGATTTTAAATTGCTTGTGTCAACTTAAAATCATTAATTGGCTTTTTATAATCATAAAACCATTCTAATTAATGAACTTTTTAAATTATTGTCTAGGGAAAAACAGAAAAATCTGTTTGAAAAAGTTCAGAGACAAAACCAAGGTGAAGCCCATATTATGGATCAAACTTCAATAACAGTGAATCCTGTACATATCAAAATGTGATTTGAGAGGATGTTGTCATTAAGCTCTTGTATGGAAAATGCCAACAGCACACTTCCAGTTTCTAAGTAAGTTTCATATCAGTTCCTGTCGTAAAAGTAGCAGTTTTGTATTGTCTTTGTATAACTCACCATTTGTGTCAGATGGTTGTTTAGTTCCTTTGTTTTTCACGTTCATTTCTTCATATAAATTTTCTTCCTGCCTTCGTACTGAAAGACTTAAAGGGTAACCTTGTAGCAGAAGACAAAGAATGATTTCATGGCAAGAAAAAAAAAGGTAGTCAATGTGAATAATTTGGTGGATGTCAAGTCTAGTTTGTTAGTTAAAGTGACTGCTGCTATTGTTTTTCTGTTGAGGTCACTGTCATTTGCAGATTATGAGGCACCAAATTTTCTACCCTTCCAGTTTGTAAGACAGGCTGCTTAGTACTTTGCATGATGCCTTGTAGTAAAAGTAGTGGTTTTGCATTTGCTTTGTATAACTCACCATTTGTGTCAGAAGTTCGTTTAGTTTCTTTATTTTTCATGTTCATTTCTTCAAACACGCTGTTTTCCTTTGTTTTAACTGAAAGAATTGAATGACAATGTTGTAACAGAAGACAAAGACTGTTTAAATGGCAGGTAAAAAAGAAATACCTGATTAAGAAAGGTTAGTTAATCTGAGTAATATGATTTGTTTTGTTGGTTAAAGGGTAGTTAGTAACTAATTAATGCCAAACTAACTAAGTAACCACAGTTTTCCAAAGTATCTTTTGATTATTTTCAATGCACAAAACAGAATTCAGCAAATATGTTGACAGAATTAAGCTTCTTAAATATATTTAAGCTCTTTTTAAAAGAGTGCACAGATCAGGTGGCTGGGTTCTTCACGAAGATCTTTAACACTTCGCTGTCCCAGTCCTGCATCCCTTCATGCCTGAAGTCAGCCACATTCGTCCCACTGCCTAAACAAACCAACATTAGCAGCCTCAAAGACTACCGATTAACTTGCTCTACGACCTGTTATAATAATGTGTTTTAGAACATGGTCCGGTGCCACAGTATGTCCTGCTTGCAAACCACATTTCACCCACTTCAGTTCGCAAACAGAGGTAAGAGATCAAATGAAGACACCATTGTTACAAACCTCCACACCACCCTCTCCCACCTGGAACAACAAGGGCGTCATGCCAGACTGCTGTTTGTTGGCTTTAGCTCTTCTTTTAATATGATACTCTCAGACAGACTGACAGCAAAACTGTTGGATATTAGACTTCCTTTTACCACCTGCTGCTGTATCAGAGACTTTCTCTTGGGCCATGGACATAGAGTTAGAGTAAGTCCCCTTATTTCCTGAGCACTTTACACCGGTTCTCCACAAGGCTGTGTACTAAGTCCCCTACTGTACACTCTGCATACATATAACTGTGTCAGTACCCACCCAGACAATGCAGTCATTAAGTTGGCAGATGATACTATTGTGGTGGGGCTCATCTCTGGGGGCAAATAGACAGCATACAGAGCTGAGGTTCAGAGGCTGTCGGATTGGTGTGCAGACAACCACGTGGACCTTAACACCAACGGCCCAACCGCATCTCCATTTTCTGAGAATCCTCAGAAAAACCCACCTGCTGACTGTAGTCTTGCTCCATTGAGAGTGTGCTGACTAGTGATGGGATTTCCGGCTCTTTTGGCTCTGAACCAGCTCTTCAGGTTGTTTTGTTGCCTTAATTAATTTATTATTAACAATAATATAAAATTATGCACAAAAGGAACTACTAATGTAAAAAAAAGTGGTTTTATTTATATATGTTTATATATAAATGTGGTGGGCCCTAGAGACAAAATATACAAACTCCAAAAAGCACGTACAAACTCCAAAACACATTTCTAGCTTTAACTGAACTTCCAAAACAGAGCTACCTAGATCACTTAAATTACACAATTGAAAGCATGTGTGTATTGTTTGTGTATTTATACACAAGCATTCATATATATTAAAATAATTTAAACAAATGTTTATTTACCTGTTATTACCACACACCAAATCCGGTCGTTGGTACTTCCTGGCTTGTGTAGCCACGAGGTAACAAAAGCTCAACACTGTCCTTAGCATCCTGAAGCACTTCTGTTGTCTTTTGTATGTGTTTTGAGTTTTTATGTGCTTCTGAGTTTTTACGTGTTTAGGAGTTTGTACGTGCTTTGTCTGTAGGGGCCACCGTAAATATACTTTTATTTATTCACTCCACATAAAATGTAATAAATAAATCATATAATACAAAAACCAACTATTCACATTTCAATTTTTAACTATTTAAATTTTCAGCTTTTTCCTTTTACAAATTTAAAGTGAAACAACACAAAACACTGCAAACCACAACATAATTAAATATAAATTAAAATATGAAAATAAAAAGAAGATGCATATTCTCTGTCATATGGGCCTGCATGAATAATCTTTCTGAATCCTTTATCATCTGCAACTGAAAATAGTTGTGGATGATTACTATACCTTTCTAATGTGATGTTGTTGTCCCTGGCTCTCTTTCTTTCTCTTGCTTTTCCCTCCTGCTCTGTTCCTGAGCTACTGAGTGTAAATACCGAAGCACTTTTAGTATCTCATCCTCTTACTTGTCTTGGTTTAGGTAGTTTTTATTTACATTTATTAATAATGCAGACAAAAAACATTAAAAGAAAAAACATTGCTTGAAATGATAAAAACACAAAGATGTTGGTGTCAGCAGTCATATACTTTGTACAGTAAAACATCTCCTATAGTTATTAATTGTGATGTTCATCTACATGATCTACAGCGTGAGTTTGAAAATATCTTTTGCTGATGCACGTATTTGAAAAACTTAGCTTACCTTCTGACTGGCATCGCTTTTTAGGTTTTAGATTGAATGGTGTGCTGTTAAACTTCTGCTCTGCCATTGCTGAAGTCTTTCTGTTGAGCTTCTCATAACTTGTGCACCAAAAAATAGCACTGTGTTAAAACTAAAGCGAATCATTTAAAAAAAAGTTGTTTCCACGCCTTTCATTTCTCTCTTTTCGTCCAACTTCTGCTTTTTACTGATATAGATGATAGGCAAGGTCAGAGAAGTTTTTTTTTTCACAGCGTTGGTGTGACAGGATATTTATTTAGCAGTAACTCATTGGGAATGTCTGCAACTTGTTCTCATTTACTTCTGTTTTCATCTGTTCCTTTCTTGATAATACCTCAAAACAAACATACACTTTTCCTTGTTAATGCAACAATTTGTCAGTGTGTTTTTTCAAATGATTTCCACAAATGGTGGTGGTCCAGCAGGCACTGCATGAAAAGCAGAAAGAAAATCTGGACAGATGATCATTAGAGAGGGAAAAACATTCAGATATACAAGAGAAACTAGTGTGAACATATAAACTCATACTTTGTCAGTTCAGAGGACAGGTTCCTTTTTCTTCCCAAGATGTCCAGCAAAAAAAAATAAACCTAATAATATAGTTTTAGGAGCTATAAAAGACTAAACTTGCTTTATAATTTGAGACTTTATTAAATTCCCGAGGCTTTCGGGAGGTCTAGTATTTATATTGGTAGAAACCCGACAATAATACAGAGAAAATCCCAACAATTGAATAACCCCCTTTGAGGAAGCACTTGGTGAAGTGGGGAAGAAAAACTCCCTTTTGAGAGAAAGAAACCTCCAACAGTATCAAGTTCATAAAGGGGCAGCCATCATCCTTCAATGAATGGTATAGTTGATGGGCAGAAAGACAGGACAAAAACCAAACTATGGAAGAGAGCCAGAGATTAGCAATACAGTGCCCACTATTGGCCAAACAGCAGCAGCAACTTACAATGTCCATGTTTTAATTTACTTACTTATCTTCACAGGCTATCCAATAGATTTCTGAAGTTTGCAAATCCACTAGTTCATGGTTCACCACAGCACAGTTTCATACCAACAGTTATAAAGCACTTATTCCATCTTTCAATTGTTTGGGCGAATCGCTACCTTATCGTGGTGAATGGGTTTGTGTGTCCCAGGGATCCCAGGGGCTATGTTGTCTGTGGGCTTTTGCCTTCTGGTAGGGTCTCCCATGGCAAATTCGTCCTGGGTGAGGGACCAGACAAAGAGCTATTCAGAAGACCCCTATGAGTACACGATCAAGGGAACAGTTCACACTGCCCACGATAGGGTTACCAAGGCCCCGTCCTGGAGCCAGACCCGGGGAGTGTGCCCGAGGGCGAGTGTCTGGTGGCTGGGCATTAGTCCATGGGTGTTTAGCCAGGCACAGCCCGAAAAAGGGACATGGGCCCGTCCTCCTGCAGGCCCACCACCGCAGGAGGAGCTGTGGGGTGTCAGGTGCAACGTGTGCCTAGCCGTGGCTAGGAGAGGAGGCCCGGGTGGACCGATCCCCGGGACATGGAATGTCACCTCTCTGGTGGGGAAGGAACCTAAGTTAGTACATGAAGTTGAGAGGTACCAGCTAGATGTAGTCCGTCTCACCTTAACACACAGCTTGGACTCTGAAACCAGTTTTCTGGAGAGGGGGCTGGACTTAGTCTGGAGTTTGAGTGGGTATCTTAGTATCCCCTTGGCTTGCTACCTGTACGTTGTGGTTTCTCCTGGTGTTCCCTGCACCTTCAGGTCGGGGATTTGGTCCTGACTGTCATCTGCGCTTATGCGCCAAATGACGGTTCAGAGCCTTCCTCTTGTCCCTGGGGGAGTATTTGAGGGTGCTCCACCTGGGGACTCTGTTATCCTACTGGGAGACTTAAACGGTCATGTGAGCAATGACTATGAGACTTGGCGGGGCATGATTTGGAGGAACTGCCTCCCGGATCTGAACCTAAGCTGTGTTTTGTTATTGGACTTTGTTTGGACTGTTGATAATTTTTATGGACAGAATTTCTAGGCGTAGCCAAGTGGTGGAAGGCTTTCACTTGGGTGGTCTCAGAATCTTTGCTTTTTGCAGATGAGGTGGTTCTGTTGGCTTCATTTGAAGTAGTGGGAATGAGAATCAGCACCTCCAAATCTGAGGCCATGGTCCTCAGCCAGATGATGAGAGACAGGTGAGAACACAGCTGAACTGAATCTGACTAATCACACACAGGAAGTGGAACGGAACAGACCGAGGCTAACATAACAAAACATGAAACAGGAAAACAGGCAAAACTGAAAATACTGACTCAATGAGCCAGGATCTCTGACAAAGCCTTTTGGACTTTTTGGTATTCTGAGAAATACAAAGTGTTAAAGTCACAGATATGAATATAATATGAAGTTCTTGACTGTTGTTTTTGACTCTGTCATATGTTTCACTTTTGACAACTTCTGCTTTTAGCTGAAAAAAAAAACAAGTTGTCCTACAGCATGTTTGAACTTTACACTGTGTGTTCTTTTATACACCTACCAGGCACTTTATGATGCTAATACCAGGTTGGATCCCTTTTTGCCCTGAGAACTGCCTTAAATCTTCTTAGGATTCAGGAAACATTCCTCACAGGTTTCAATCCATATCGACATGGTGTGCCAATAATTTGATTTAATATAACCCAGTAAAGCTAAGAATACGGTCAAATACAGATATATAACAACATAAAAATACCAAAATACTGATACTTCAGACAACAGCCTTCTTTGATTTGAAGTAAAACACTATCCAGCATCAATACAGGGAACAGAAACTCAGTATACAAACAGCACTGGACTTAAGAAACCTCTTTCAGCAACACAAATGAAAACAGCCAAGTGCTACTTTAGATCTTAAATGCTGGTGTCAGTTCAATTAACTATAATTAAGTTTAATTAACTTCTGATAGCCTCTTAGAATTTCTTCCTTCTTGTAAAAGTAAGATTTATCAAAAAAGACTTGTAAAGTTGGCATCTCTGAAGTGTAATTTTGATGTTAAAGTGCTGTCATTTTGGGTTTTATTAATATTCCTTGATTTAGTGTCCTTTGTGGTTTTGGTTCTCTTAATTGCTTTCTCACTATGTTATATTTGAGTTTTACTTTAGTTTTCTCTCACTGTGCCTTCCCTGTGTTTCACATTTCTTGTTTAGTACTATTGTCTCCCTGTTCCATGTTCCCTGTCTGTCTCCCCCTGGTCTCAGTGTTAAGCTTGTGTTTTCCACTAGTAACTATTTGGATCAACTCGGCACAGTTCGCCACAGTTTTCAGGGTTTTCCATTAGGTCTTAGTACCTGGCACCAAGTACTTTTTTAGTACCTGCTTGACCTGGGTTCCAAGTGATCTGAGCAGGTGACATCATCATACTACATGCCACCAAATGGTTGTTCAGTAGTGTCACTTGATGAGTCATGAGAGCATCTTATTCACAAAAATTGAAACTGTCGTTTTTGAAACCCAGCAATGGGGAAAAGTCTGATGAAAAGCCACAGAAAGAGCAGCAACTTATTACTTGCCTCGACATCCACCTTTTTTGTAGAGTTCATGTCGCATAGTAATTATGTAGCAGGATGCTTGGACACTGCTATGATGTCAACATGTTAGGTACTACCGGATTTGTGTACATGGAATCTAAGAGGGGTCCATAATCCTATTAAAAGGAGAAAAATACTCACCTTTTTTGAAAAAAGAACACGTTGATATTGCACTTTTAAAAGAAACACATTTAGATGACGTAGAACACCTTAAATTACAGCAAGGTGGATTTGGACAGGTATTTTTTTTACTCATTTACCTCAAGAAGTAGAGGGGTGGCAATCCTTGTGAGGAAAAAAACTCCCTTTTTCAAATATATAGTGTGTTTATGGACAAGCATGGAAGGTACATTATAGTCAAGGGAATATTATTAGGTGCGGTTGTTTCTATATTGAATGTTTGCTGAGATGCACTCTGACATTTCTATAGTGGGTGGAGATTTCAATTGTATACTGAATCCTCTTATTGACAGGTTCCCCCACTAGCCTCTGCCTCTTTCACCACGAGCTAAGGCACTCAATTCTATCTGTGTAGACTTAGGATTTGTGGATGTATGGAGAATAAAACACCCTTTAGATAAAGTATACACGTTTTTCTCTGCACCACACAAATGCCATACTAGGATTGATTAATTTTTTAGTAAAATCAGGGCTATCATTGCACTCAGTTTTATCGTGTGAAAACTGAGTGCTGTAGCACTCAGGAGGTAGAGCAGGTCAGCTGCTGATCAGAAGGTTGGTGGTTCGATCCCTGCCTCCCCCCAGTTTGCATGCCAAATATCCTTGGGCAAGATACAGACTTGCTCTCTGATGCATCCATCGGATGAATGATAGCTAGAAAGCATAGGTAACAGGGCTTGTGTAAATGGGTGTGTATGGGGTAAATGTGGCGTGTTGCAGAGAGCGCTTTGAGTATTCCAGGAGAGTAGAAAAGCACTATTTAAGAATCAGTCCATTTACCATATTATAGTATTGTATTGTAATTTCAGACCATGCCAATGTGGTGCTGGATCTTTCTCTTAAAGGTATGGTAAATACATCAAAAATACTGGAGGTTAAATACAGCTACTACAACTATTTTAAGGGATTATACATTTGTATCCAATTTTAACACTGACTTTAGATGTTTATTTGTCCATCAACCAGCATTGTGGGAAACTATTAAAGCGTACACTAGAGGGATTTTTATTTCTTACTCAACTAGTAAGTGGTGGCAGAAATTGAGGAAGCAGAATCTTTTAATGACTGCACTTAAAACAAAAGGAAGGACTTATGCTGACTCCCCCAATCCTGCCTGCACAGCAAGTGATAGCTGCAGTCAGATCAACCTTAGATAACCTTTTTACGCAAGATGAGGAGCTTAACCGTAAGTTTACTAAACAAAGACTTTATGAACATGGAAAACATTTGGCATATCTTACCAAGAAATGATCAGAAGTTATTACAGCAATTTGTGATGCTCAGAGTGATCACGTATATGACAGTGAAACCATAAATAACACCTTCAAAGAATTTTACTGCCGATTAT